ACCTATCTATCTATCCATCCATCCATCCATCTATCCACCAATCCATACTTCCATCCATCTATCTATCCAACAAACCATCCATCCATCCATCTATATATCCATATATCTATCCATCTATCCATCCATCTATCTATCGAGAGCTGTAATCATCTCTCATGCGCCAGTGGAGCTGCCAATATAGAAAAGGCGTCGCTTCTGACAAGAGATTCTCTCAAACAACCGCCTCGTCTCCCGTGGGTCACCTGTGGCGTTTGTTAACCGGCGACCAACTGTCTGGAAGAACTGAATCGTCAGGGGACCGAGAGCGCCGGATGTTTTGACGGCCACTGGGACGAGGTGGTAACGGTCGCTGAGGCCTGCATACTTTCTAATTTTGGACTCCTCTGCCTTCTTGACGATGCTGCCGGGAGCAGAGGCAGAGGAGGTGATGGACAGTGTTGAGAACGAGTCGGAGCATGTGGCGTCCCACACGATGCATTTGCCACCCTCGAATGGAAAGATGGGGATGCCATCCGGCCTTTTGCCGTCGCCCCGGTAGAGGTCGGAGGGTTCAAAGGTGCAATGTAGGCCGGATGCATCAAGTGTACGCTTCACGATGTCGTTGAGACGTGGGAGACGACCACCACTCCTACGACAGGACAGTGGGTGTAGGTCGAAGCTATCGACTGATGAACCCCAACGGCATTTATGAGGCTCGCACAAATATATAATAGATGTATAGATTGATTCTCTCTTCCGCTTTCGTGGTTGTACACTCCATCATTTCAAAAGGTGTGGAATGAGTGAGCAGGGCTAGTGAACGGAAACGTCGCTTGTTTACAATTTACAATGGCGTCTTAGAAGTCGGACTTTTCCAAGATTAGATCTAAACTACAGTGACTCCAGGCTCCTCAATGAAACTGTGCACCCTTTAAATGATTTTGAAGGACTATTAATTTTGTCAAATTCGAAAGTTAAATGGTTCGGAAGTTTAAGGCAGCCAAAGTGTAAACTTTCATAAATACAATATATAGAGATAGAGATAGAGACAGAGATAGAGATGGTGGATCCCACGAAGTTTATAAGTAAGTTTATTGCTTATTTTTATGTGTTTAAGGAGAAGTAATTGTTTGTATAATTCTTATTTTACAATTTAAAGTGTCCTATTCAAATTTGGGAACCCATTCCTACGCTGAATTTACGTGATTTGGAGAACATGAGAACTTTACAAGACTCGCTACATTTTTTGTAATGGTTATTGAGCGGAAACAAACATTGTATAAATGATAAATATAACAATGCCGGTTGGCGCTCATATGACCTTATGCAGTTGCGAGCGCCGTAAAACCCTCTACTATACAGACCCAAAAAAAATCAATGCTTGTGTCCCCTGTGTGGTTTTGTTATGTCAGCACGCAGTAATAATGTTGAAAAGTGCTCTCAAACAAATCCATATTTGCATATTCAAACTGTCTTATGGTGACATATGTTCAGTGAAACAAGTGAGATCGATTGACGCAGGGAGAATAGTAAGGGAGAATATGATCTTAGTAAACCTAGAAGGAGTTTAATCAAAGTCTGCTGAAGTTAATCATGTTGTAATCATACATCTGTTATCTTCCCATGGCAACCTAGATCTGTTAGTATACGTTGTAGTTATGTTCGCAATACGAGGCCAAAATGGTGCTCGACGGGTGGTCGCGTCAAAAATGAGAAGAATTCAAATTGTTTCTATCTCGCTTCCCGTTCCATTTAACTTTTAATATGTAATACGTTTGCACTTTTTTGTCAGAAATTTTAATTTTTAATGGGAAAACTTCAGATGTGAGAAATAATTTTTAAAAATAAGTTTGAAGCATTATAGGGATTGAAGTTTGGCACCGGATCGGCTTTCCGGCGTTTTTCAGACGCAAAATAGTGGAATCTCCACCACCGATCACCCATGCGTTTTCAAAACGTCGGTGAACCGCTCGTACAGAATTGATTACAATGTAATAAGCCAATTTAAAAGTACTTAAATTGATGTTCTTTCAATTTATTTTAAGGGAGATTGAGGGGGGGAGGGTAGTTTTAAAGTTGACGATTTTGGGTCAATTGATGGTTTCTGGATTTTAAACGTATTTTAATATTTCAACCACTTGTAAATCTAAAAAATGTATCCTCTTTTTGTTATAATCAACGTTTTTCAGGTGTTCTGTCCTTGAACTTTTATTTTGACTATTATGTAACAAAATGTCGTTTATTTTCTCCAAACTTCAATTTTTGTTAGTTTTTCTTATTTACTTTTTTTATTTTCTATTTGATTCCAATGCAAGGTTTATTATTCACACCTTAACCTAATTTTATACAGGTGGAAAAGCAAATCGACAAAATGGGTTACATGAATGATTATGTAATCGAATTCAGAGGCATAAAAGGGTAGGTCAGTTATCCATTTCTAACTTTTTTCTTAATCAAGATATCCAAGATCCCAGCTTCTTAAAATTGTGTATTGAGTATATCTATCAACATATCGAATTTGAACAGATTTGGTTGGTAAATAAAAAATCCCTTTTACTTTATGAAAGCTGTTTATTTTTAATATGGCCACCGTTACCACGGTAACCATAAACTTAAACCAAAAAAATATAAATTTACATTTCAGAGATATTTTCCTGTTATACCTCCTTGCTATAAGGCTTTATCTAAAAAGGCCATAGTTATCGATATAGGTTTATAACCCTTTAAAGGGCTAATTAACTTTTAAACAAGCAAAGAACCCCCCCCTCCCCCCCACACGCACACCTTTGGAATGCTTTTATTAACGGATTTTATTGAAATATTCTGGTTAAAAATATATTGCTATAAATCTCATCCATTTTTCTATGATATGTAAACAGTTTTAGGACAGAAGCGTTGTTGAAAGTATCGAAGCTTGGAAACTTTCCTTGACTGAGCAAAAGAAAGTCATGTCGGTGCGCGGCCTTCCCTTAAGGAGAAGGTGGACACGGAGAAGAGAGAAGAGAAATAAAAATAGATATGCGTCATTCCGGTGTATGATAGCGTTTCTTTTTCTGCATACTAAATTTGAGTGTACTATTATTAGCCTAGACATGTTAATAACTGGGACGTCCCGAGTGGCTAAAAAGTGGGCGTACACAATTAAGATAACACGGTTGTGTATGAGAGAGAGAGAGAGAGAGAGAGAGAGAGAGAGAGAGAGAGAGAGAGAGAGAGAGAGAGAGAGAGAAAGAGAGAGAGAGAGAGAGAGCGAGAGAGAGAGGGTGAGTGAGAGAGAGAGAGAGAGAGAGGGAGAGAGAGAGAGAGAGAGAGCGAGCGAGAGAGAGAGAGAGAGAGAGAGAGAGAGAGAGAGAGAGAGAGAGAGAGAGAGAGAGAGAGAGAGATTTGGGAGGGAGGGTGAGCGTTTAAAGACTTCTGAAAATGGGATGTCCATAATAAAAACGTAAACAGAAGCATGTGCTACAGAGGTATGAAGCTAGTGTTTCTTTCAAAATAGATCCTCATCTTCTCCTTCAGTCGTCGGTAAAAACTATTTTAAATCTGAGATCATCGTTCCGCTGTTCATGGTAATAGAAACAGGACTATGAAATTAATGTTTTATACAATCTGTGTACTATTATATTGATCTTCACAGTATCATGTCATATATAATGTAGACAGCACGATAGACGGAAAGGTGAGTTGGGTACGTCAATAACTATAAGTACCTCGGGAAAATACGAGAGGTGGTCAATATTGGGGGAAACGATACAGGCAGTGTGCAACGTGTCTCCTTTTATTTGGGTTCAGCTCTTCGTCTCTTCTATCCTTAGATGTATAGACTGCTGAAAAAAGGTAAGCCATTTCGAGCTTTTAAAGTTAAAAATGAATGAATAAAATGAACGTCAATAGAAGGCAAATGTGAAAAACATCGAGTCCCCCCCCCCCCCCCCCTGTCCCAAATGCTATTTTAAAAGGAGCAATATTTTTTATGATATTTGAGTTGAATTTGAGGTATCGTTACCCGGCGTTACGGTCTTCAATGAGGAAGTGAACTGTTTGAATAGATCTAGCATAAGGTTCAGGTATGTTTTAAAATGAAGCGTAAAAAGTTCATAGTGGTTAGGCTACGGACTCTTAATAGTGAGGTTGCGGATTCGGGGGTTCGAGCCGCGGGAAAGGCACTTTACGTGAATTTTCCCCACTTCACCCCTGGTGGGAATGGGTACCCAGCTATAGACAGGGAAAGGTCTTCTCAGTATGTTAATGTTTTTGGGCTAATATGGCAGCTCGTAATGTATGCTTCCCAGGAAGTTGAGGTTGTTTCAGAGTGTTCTCAGGTCTGCTGGGGTAATAATATAGATTGTGAAGCGCATAGAGCCTGCTTTTGGGCGGGGATTTGTGCTATTAAATGCTATTTATTACTATTATTATTATTATTATTATTATTATTATTATTATTATTATTATTATTATTAAGTATTATTATTATTATTATTATTATTATTATTATTATTATTATTATTATTATTATTATTATAATTATTATTATTATTATTATTATTATTATTATTATTATTATTATTATGTAAAATACACTGAATATGAATTCGGAAAGATAATTAAAACGTTTTAAAATTCCTCTTGAGTTTTGGGGTGAAAAATCTTGGAAGTCCCGTGTACATGTCGCGCACGCTAAATTTCCCTTGTTGATTCAAAATCGATATGAGTAGGCTTTGGCTGCTACTCGTGCAAAATTTTGTTTAATCCTAAGTACTGAAAATGTTTAATGTGTCCCGCGCGTTCATATGACCGTATGCAATTAATGTTATTGCGAGCGCCATACAACACTTGCCAAACCAAAATACAATAGGTTCATTCCCATATCTTAGACACCTTCTTAAGTTTTGTTTCTCGAAAGGGACCTTACATGTTCACTGGGTAAATGGCAATGGAACGTCCTTATTTCGAAATTCTCGAGGCATAACGTCTGATCTCATGTCTGTCGTGTGATATTACCGTTTACTTTTTTTCTTGCCCAGGTGACGGTGGAGCTGTTTCCGACGGGACTTACGTGACATCAAGATTATACTGAAAAGTCAGCAAAAACAACATCATTTAGGTTACCACACTACATCAGTAGGAGTCTTCGTCCTATCACCACAGCATCCGCGGCAGCTTCATCACCAGCAGAAAGACACATTACCAAACATATTAAACAAACAAATCATAACGTGAAAGTAGAGCACGATGTCAGGGAAAGGAAAAGTCGTCGTTTTAACTGTGCTGGTCGTAGGCTTTGTCACAGCGTCTGTCTTTATCTCCCAAAGTCGCAGTGTTAAAGCCCAGTTAGTGGAGACCGTCAAGGTGATGAGGAAACAACAGCGGGAGTGGTTTCAAGCGGCAGATAACCGGCAAGCAGACGTAGCAGGTAAACTTCTCTGAAATGAAATGGTATTGTGATATATCCAGGCCCTGTCTGGTCCCGTCTCACTTTGATTACCCTGTCAAACAAGTCAGCCTTCGCTCCTGGATTCCTCTTCATCTGTATTTAATGTACTCTGGTCATCAGCAAATAGAAGCTCGTTCAGTTCATTGATATTATCATTTGTTGCTATCGTGATCTTATCCATGTAAGTGATAAAGAGTAGCGGGGAGAAAACACACCCAGACCTAATGGGGAACCAGCCCGATAGTCCTGTTCATCTTACGGCACACAGGTTGTTTTTATAAAGTGTCATGGTGTTCTCCAGCAATTGTCCTGTTACACCATATTCCTCTATGACTTCCCAAAGTTGACATCTATTTACCCTGTCGAACGCCTTTTCGTGGTCCACGAAGACGATATTGAGGTCTTTTCAAGTCCAGTGGCAGTCTAATACAACTGTCCTAATGCAAAAAAAGCGTCAGTACAGCCCCCGCCTTTTCAGAAGCCAAACTGGGATTCATTGAGTAGAGTCTCTACAATTGGTCTCATTCTTATTTCCAGTATCTTGGCAAACGTTTTACCCACATGGCTGAGAAGAGATATTCCTCCGTAGGCTCCACCGTCTCTTTTTTACCGTTCTTTTTCCAAATAGGTACAATGACTGCTCATTGTCAGTCTTCGGGTGTTATTTTTGTCGCCCAAGCCAGGTTAAATGTCCTCATAGCCAGAGTTCACCGATATGGCCGCTTAGTTTGATCTCTTCTGCTGTGATGTTTTCAACGCCTATCGCTTTGTTTGTGGGGCGTTCAACGCCTATCGCTTTGTTTGTGGGGGCTTTTCTTTATAACATCTTGGGTTTCACTCAGCAGTATTAATGGTTCTGGAGTTGTTTCTTTCGGTTAAAAGCTGCTTGGTGTTGTTGTTTCTCCTGTAGGATTCATGCAGCTCCTGGAAATAGCGTTCCCATCTTTTTTTAATCTTTGGCTTTCTAAAAATAAGGCCTCCCTTCTCATCACTGACTATTTCAGTTGGGTTGTCTGGTTCTTCCCGCATCCTCATGCTTTAACTCTCTTGTAAAACTCTCAAGGGTCTGCTTTACATTTTGCTACCAGCTGTTCTCCATTATACTGTCCAGGATCTGTTCTTAGCTTCCTTTACTACCCTTGATGTTTAACGGCGTTCCTTTCTGTATATGACGTAATCTTCTTCTGTCTTTGATTTCTGCCAATTTTTGAATTCCTTTATCTTCTGTTGGATGGCTTCCTTCACTTGGTCATTCCACCATATAGTTGTTTTCTTTTTCTGACCTCTTGCTTTCCTGGTGTTGCACTCTTCTTTTAATGCTCTGTTCTCACATGCTTTGAAGTGACTCCATTCCTCTTCAGTGTCTCCCGATTGATAGGGCAATTTGGGAAATACATCTTTCAAACGTTCATGTGTCTTATCTTTGGTATTGTCGATTTATATTTGTGAGAATTATGACTTCTCGTCGTTTCTTTGCTTCTCGCATTTTCCTGTTTGGTATGTCACGATAACTGGTCTGTGGTCAGTGTCTTTGATGTAAATGGCATCGGACTTCCGACGTCACGCTTATGACGTAATTAAATGGTAAATAGAATTTTACTCTTAATGTACATTACTTTTATTTCTATATATTGATTCTACATAAAACTACAAACAAAAGATACCTCATTGGTTACTATACGGCTTTTATTACGGATTTTATGACTTCTTGAAGCAGAATTTAGAAGTTTGGTGGCACAAAATGCAGTGCAAAAATTCGGCCACATCAGGGCGAAAATTGATTCTCAAAAATGGTTGCTGCTTCTGAACTTACAAAGATAGCTCAAAAATGTAAAAAGCTCTGACTACAGAAAGCCAAGCTCTTTCCTATAATCCTAATTTTAGTGGCCTCGGAGAAGTTTGAAAATTTCACTGAAGTGTCTCGGTGCGGTATTAGAGAAATCCCATTTTTCTAAAGAGGTTGAAAAAATGGAACAGTCTTACTCGATAAAGTACTTTTTCAGAAGTAACAAGTTTTGAGGTAAATTTAATCTGTTGTCTGTTCTATTTTTCCCCCAGCACCTGATTTTAAAAATATTTTTTAAAATCATCATGTCGGTGGTTTGTCTGTTGCTCGAGATCTTAAAAGTTAGTTTCATCAACTGACACTTCGTCTCCTATTTCTCATTTTAGATTGATAATCCTTTATTGCTATCTCTTTTGCTTTAGTCGTCCCTGTTGTTTCTTTTTCTCACTTTCTTGGAACAGTTTCGTCAATCTTTGGTTAACATCCTCCCGTTCACTGCCTTTCTTTCCTAAAGGCGCGAACTGTCTTTGAATTTCGACTATTCTAATTTTGTTCTTCCTTCATATTTTTGTCGATGGCGTCAAGTTCCTCAATCAGCGTGAGATCCATGTCTACCACGGGCGGCTCCTGGGGCTAAAAAGTGGGCGTGCACAATTAAGCAACAGCAGGTTGAAGATAGTCAAGGCCAGTCAAGGGCATAGTAAATGGGATGGCAGGATCTTTGGGTTGGTGAAGGATGGCTTTATGCTTTAATTTTCATTCTTTTTACTGGTCGCTTTGATTTCTAGAACTAAATCTGTTTGTTAGCTAAACATCAGTTTCTTTATCCTGCATTGGAACTGAACACGTGAGTAATAACGTTCACCACTCCACTACAAATCCATTCAAAGGCACAACTCATAGGGCGGTGACTTAAGTATGTCACGTTCACCTCCCTCAGGTCCACGGTCACAGAGTCGCTTAAAATAGTGGCAAGACAAGGAACCAATCACAATTCATTTGAGCATTCCGCTAGATTGCTCCGGGGATCACATAATTTTGGCATTGAATAGTGTGGAATAGTGTACATGCTATCTTGTGTATTTCTAGACTGCCTACTGTGGGCTATGTTTCGTGGGTGCACATTTGAGATGTGCGGTCTTGTTAATATTAATGTACCGCCAAACTCGCTACGAGTGACGTCATCGCTTGGGTTATCTGAAAGAGCGATTTATAGGTCAGATTGCCACTGTTGAATATTCTACTACGTTTAGTTAAAGCGCATGGCCTTTGGCATAGCATAGTAGATGTTTTACGGCGCTTTTGAGACATAAATGACAGTTACAGCGCCAGCGAGGACCTTGTTTAGAAGTAATATTTCGCTAGTGTTTGTTTCTGACTTCTTTTATTTCATGTTTGTTGGTGCTTTTCGTAATAGAACATTAAACAAATTTGGGCGGCACTGCACGAGCGTGCTCTATGGACGAACCGCGCCTGATGTCTACTCTAGATAGTTGAATTTATTCTATCATTTCATGGAGATTTTTCTTTTCTTTTTGTCTATTTAGATAGCACATAACATTCATCCCGGTGGTTGCAACTAAAGGCTTGGTCGATGTAGCTCGTATGCTTATAGTAATGTGAATTGTATCTCTTTAAAATGATGAAAGTCAAAGATGTATGGAGACAAAGCGGTAAGGTGCGAGGGAAGTTGGGAAGGGTGTGATTTAGAAATTGATCTCCACCGTTTGTGTGCGTATGTTTGTGTGTGAGTGAGCGTGTGTGTGTGTG